TTGTTGTCGATACGTTACTTAACTGTGGAAACTTTATTGTTAAATGTAAGACTAATATGTGTTATGTAATAGTCTAAAGTTACGTATTGAAGATAAAATAAATAAATAAAAAATAAATTATAATTACAATCAAATTAACATGATACGTATTTATTATTATTCATAATAATTAATCGATGCAAGTTTTGACTTTATAATAAAGTCAATACTAACTGAATAATAATGTTCTCTTGTGCAACCTGAATTTCGATCACGGCGTCTAGTCTCTAAACGGAGACTAGCCATCAGCGCAGGACAGTATTATAGTGCCCAAGTATATGCGCAAGCACAGGTGCACTCTCTATTCCTATTCCTCACTATTCTATTCCCTCATAATCCGATGGGACGGTAAACCGACATGACCGGAGAGAGATCAGGCGCAGAACCAACAGCTTAATGTGTTTAGAGGGGGGTAAAACGCCAACTTCCAGACTCCGGGCTGTTACTGAGAATTTCTTATCAGAAAAAATCACAATAACTGATTTAACGTGTAAGAAAGACAACGCTAAACTAATAGCAGCTTATCACTGCTGTTTCTTATGTTAGAAACCAGAACTGGAAACCCTTATGGTAACTGGTCACTCCGACTTAATCCTCAGGGAGCAATTTGATTTTAGATAGACGTAGGAGATTTTGGGCTACCGTGATATATACAAAGACTTTGTCTGAAACTTAACGAATACTCTCGAAAGAACGTTATATAGTAACAGTGCTAAGTAGCATTTTTTGACCGTCTTTGTGTTCGTATGTCCGTCTGTCAAAGCTATTTTGCACAGGATCCGGGATTCATGTTGACAGTTATATCAAATATTAAGATCTATGTCCCTTTGACCATTTAGTAACTATGGGGGAGGCCTATGTTCAGCAGTGGACTTTAATATGCTATAACAGATCCCATTGACGTTAAAAAATTAATAGTAACATATCGGAAATTCCCATTGGGAAATAGTGGGAAATAGGTATTCTTTCCGATGAACTAGAATCATAAAATTTTGCAAAAAGCAAGGTCTCACAGATGTTGATTTGTTTGTGAGACCTCGTATTTTTTAATTTTTTTAAAATTAAAGCATCCTTATTCTTTTAATTGTAACGTAAAGAAGCTGTTCGCCTCCGGTGTCGCTCTGGTGATTTTCATGACTATCTCTAGTAGTTAAGTTAAGGTTAAGGTAGTTAAGTTTAGTTAAGGCTATGCGTTGTCTGTCAGACAGTCAGTTCGTCGAGAACTGTTTCATCCCGCTGAATCTTTCATAGAATTTGTGCGAATTGAAAGAACACAACTTTAGTACGATCATGAATTTATTAAAATGAAATAGACCATGAACTAAATTCAATCATTGGATGTTTGCAACACACAAAACTGATGAATTTTCATACTATCGCTTCGTATTAATTTTTTTGCATTACATCATAGATAAATAAATATGTAGCAAGCTACAGATACGACAGTGACTTTTAGTCAAGTTTCCCAACTACGCGTTTTGGCGCTGCAGTCGCCTAATTTGACAGATGAGTAATGACTATACAATTTAGTATAGCTATGTATAGCTTAGGGATTGCAAGCACACATCCTTCAAACTATCGATATCGATGTTTAGTGGTGTTCTTATTTTATCGATATCGACATAAGTGCATTATACGGGAATAATAATACTTAATGAAACAATTATAATACATCTAACTTATTTATTTTTTATTCAAGCACACCAACATCATATACATACAAACGTAATCTTAGGATTAAATTAAAGGCACATTAAGTTATATAAACAAATTAGAAAATTGTGCATAACATTTTACATAAATAAGTACAATTTGACGAGAAACAGAGCAATATTTATAATTCATTAAATAAAGCAAATTAAACCACAGGAATAATTTAAGTGCTTAACATTTTACTTTTCAAGTTATTTTTAGAAGCAATGCTATTTATTTTTCATCTGGGGTACCACCTGGCCATTCTTTACAAAAATTAAAAAAAACATCTTCTCTTCTTTAATTTCATTTTCTACACCACATAACCTGAAAGAAATAAATAAAAATAAAGTCCAATATACATATTTTATGACTTAATGATAATCATAAACTATATATTATTTACATTAAGGTAACAAAGGGTGGCTTCATGGCAGTTGGCATTTTTTATCAGTCAACCCATGGTGTGGTGAAAATAAAGTGATAGATGCAGTAAATAAGAAATAAAAAACATATAAATATTAACATGGTATACATCTATTATCAGGAGCTTTCTCAATGTCTTCAGGCACGGAGTTCCAAATAAGTGTAAACTTAATACTAAAGGAGTTGTTGATAAAACCATTGAAGTGTAGTGGAACTGTAATCTTTAGATTAGATGAAGAACAAAGAACTCTTATCATGATTTGAGGATAGATATGCTGAATATAGATATAATGGATATGTTTGTTATCTTATCTTACCTAATTATATCTAAGAATAAACTGAATTTATCATACCTTTATGCCAATGTGTACATTTTGTTATCTTCTGGCAACATTTGTCACACCACATCAGCATTAGATTTCTATTCCTGAAAACAAACAATATTTGTGAATTTTATGTTCTTCACCGCCGAGCATGTGGTAAATCAGCACTTAAAATTGCAATTAACAATTTCATTGGTGCCGGGGGGATCGAACCCGGGTTACTCGCGTTCTGTTATATTTACAGCGAGCGTTAACCACTGAGCTACCACGGCTCACTTCTTGAATGTTCTTATACATAAACCCAAAATTAAAGAATAAATATATAATGTTATACTTCTGTATTGTATGTATTAATGCTGTATGGCTACTTTTAATAACAGTTTAGTATAATCGTAATTAAAAGTGATCTATATTATCATATAACTAAGTTATATGGCAATTGTATGTGGTAGAGCCATGCTGCAGGTATATTACTGGTATAAACAATTTGTTATTTAGAATTTTATTATAGCTAGTTGTGTAATTTAATTCCCTTTATAATTTTGATTAATTATGATCAATATAGTGTAATCATACTTTAAATTAATGCCAAATGTAACACTTAACTCACAATAAATATATTGAACTTATTTAAGAATATTTTGACTTCAACCTTTTTGTAATTAAACTATTAATAGCTTATGTACCTACATCTTAAAGCTAGACTAATATTATTTCATGAAGACTGCTATATAGCTAATTTTGTTGTTAAATACAAGTACTTACTATAACTAAGATTAAACCAAAAATATACTAAATATATCTTTTTATATCAATCCTATATAAGTTTTAATAGGTATAAAAAGGTAATTATAATTATCTCAACCCACCAAAGAGCTAGATAGAAAAACAAATTTATAAAAAGTAATTTGTAACAAATCATTTACTCTGATTCGTACTGCTAACTCGAGTTGCATGAATTTCGACTCGAGTTAAATCAATTCGTAATTTTTCCAAGTTGGCACATCTATAAGATCAGAATTCCTAATATTCACTTCACTTAGTTGTTGTTGTATTAACTTTCATTAATCGTTTCACCATATCGTTTCATTATCAACCACAGCTTTTTTGGTGATTTTTTACTGATCCTGCATTTATATATTTAAGTAATTATAGTGAAAAATAGCCTGTAACTGTGTAAAAATAGTGCAAAATCACCTGTTACAGTGCAGCCAATAGATAATCTCACTTTTACTTATTCTACAATAACTCAGTTCCTACATTGACAAATCTTGCGAGATTTTCAGCTATGAATTGTCTATATAGTATATGCTTACAAATGGTCGTACTTTTATCTTAATACTTGAGCCCAAGAATGTAGAGACGTGTCCTTCTCCTTTAGGTACCATGGTTGAAAGTAATAAAATGACTCACCTGTTGCAGTCAGAGGCACACCATGAGCTATTTCATTGTCAGTAAGCAAGGACGAGTAAGAGTATCAAAGTCTTCTGCCTTCATTGTCGAACTGAAATATATCAAAATGTTTTTCACAGACACGTTCGTTAAGTAACTGTTCTTTGGAAAGTAAAATGAGCTGGGGATTTGTCGGCACTATGAAAGACATCCACAAGTTTCTTAAATTATCGTTCCTAGAGTTCCTGAAAAGCCGGTGCGTGCGTTTCACGTGTTTTATTGCAACCACCAATACACATATACCTGTATACCTTCCTGTATATACTTATTATACTCTTTGCCAATACAACAGTTTTCGCATACCATTATGGTGGTATATGCAATGTTCCCACGAGCAACACAAAAACAGAATATTGTAATAATTGAAGAAAATTTGGATAAATAATGTCGGCAATCAATATCGATAATTTTGATTTTTGACAATATGATTTGATTTTGACATTAACACAATGTGGCGTCTCAAAATGCCGTCCGTAGACAGAGAACAAATTGCGACGGTAGCGCCAAGTTGCGTAGAATGGAACTAAGCTGTCACGGGCCTGCATTACATCAATAGTCAATGCGGAAATGTGCCAACAGTACTGTCAAACGTAACGTCACTTTTTTGGTTAAGATTTTTATACAAAAGCACCATCCAAATTACATACCAACATTTCTGATGGATTTTCGAAAAACTTCTTCCATTTTGTATGAATTTGACCTAACTCCTAACAATTACTACTGTAACAAAAAAAAATCAGCCAAATCGTTCGAGTCGTTCTCATGTGATGATCTTTCATATACATGCGGCAATTGATTTTTACCGACTTAAAAATGAGGAGGTACTCAATTCCACAGCATTTTTTATGTGTGTTGCCTCAGAACTTTTTCTAGGTGAATCGATTTTGATAATTATTTTATTCGATTATTTGAAATCTGGTGCTTCTCACGTACAAATGTCATCAAGATCTGATCAGTAGTTTCTGAGTTATCCTTAATAATGCGTATTTACTTAACTTCGCCTACACTGATGATGTTCTCAATTTATTTATATTGTGTCTTAACGAATACTATTGTTTTTTTTTTCAGATCACTTCCTACTTATTTCATTGTTGCTAATAACTGCTAACGTTAATGCGAAACCACTCGAACAACAAAATCAAGATGGCGATGAACACAAAGTTACGCGACTCCGTCAAGACTTCAAACTTGTCGCCTACGTGGAGAATTTCAAAAACATAATGGCAGAATACGTCAGTTCAGAATACAGACACCTTACAATCAACGAAGTTGAGAGAGTCAAAGCAACGCTTGAACAGTTCTTGCATAATTTCGCGAAAGATTTGAAAGAAATCCTGGATCACCCTGAGGACAGCCACAAATTTGTTGAAGGCCGACGCCAAGTCGATGATGGTATTTCGGACGCTACGTTTGAAGAAATAAAACAAAGAGTGATGCATGAGTTCCCTGATATTGATGAAGAAATGGCAAATGAAATCGTTTATAGGTTGAGGAAGAATTTGTTGTGGACGCGGGAGAAGTTAGATCATATTATCGAAGAGTCTAGAAGAGCTAAAGCAGCAAATTCTTAACATTATTTTACCAAATTTTACTTAGTCTAGTTTTAATGCAATGTAGATTTTATTTTTAAAATATAGTCAACATCACTTTTCGTCAAACGCAAGTTGATAATTATATACCTATATTAATTATATGACACGTGTGTGTGTTTACACACACGTGTCATGTGCTTACAAACTATGTGACTACAATGTAAATTAACTAGTTACTCTATGACATTGAGTTAAAATCAATTCTCTATGATGTCCATTGTGTGTCTTTTAATTATGTAAAATATGTATGTATGTATTTAATTAATATACATATTTATTACGTAGAAGGGATAAATAAAGCTATCAGTCAACAGATTTTTTTAATCTGCGTTATTTATATCATATAGGTACTTTATGAAGTACTCTGCCAATTTTCGAAAAAGCAAAACACAAAATTTTTGACGCCATTATTAGTTATCGATTGCCACTTAATCACGAGACGTGATTTTTGAACAGTTATTCAGAGAGCAAGGCATATGCTACTCTCCAACTAGAGTTCAGACAAGCCCTTTTCACTACGTACATAATATTATACAAAATTGGACGCTTTTTAATTTTAAATTTTTTTTATATTTTATATGATAGGGTGACAATCGAGCACACAGTCCACCTGATGGTAAGTGGTTGCTGTAGCCCATAGACATCTACATCTATCCTGATTACGAGAGTTTACCGAGTGATGGGGTAAAAGGGTATCCGGTTCTCTACACTCACCATGCGAAACACAGCAGCATTAAGCTACTATTTGTCGCTGGTATTCTATGAGTGCATGGTCCTTCCCCGGTCGAGCCGACCCATTAGTGCTACAACTATACTACTAATATAACTGCAGCATGGCTCTACTACTTACGCTACTGTAACTCGCGTAACATGAGACCATCTGATGCCAAACGGGTGTCGAAGTGTAACGATGTCGATAATAATTGTTGCAGTTCATTATTTTTAAATAAATGAGTGTGAATTTATAAATAAATAAAGAACTTATAAATATACAAAAATTGTCTGTATAATATTTTTTAATAAACACAATCCACCTGATGATAAAAGATTACCGTGGTCCATAGACATCTACATCTATCCTCGATGGAGCACCAAATTGCAGATACGTTGTCACTCCTGAGAACTAAGATGGAATGCCTCGTTTCCAATGAAAAGGGTCTCCAGAACTCTACACACACCATATGAATTTTACCCTGCTATTTTGTGAGAGCTTGATTCTTCTTGATCGAGCCTATTCATTCGTGCTACAATCACAATAAGTTTTCAAAGTATATTATATCATATACATGTACTAATACAGAAGTGCTATTATCTGAGAGAAAAATTATACTTAGTAAAAAAATAACCTTTAAAAGTAAGTATGAATTACAAAGTAATTTTTCTTCATTAGCGATCTGCCCCGGCTTTGCACGGATGATTTTTCAATCTCGACAACATTATGGATGCGTTTGGCAGAAAAAAGTAAGTAAGTAGTTGTTAGCAAAATGGCGAAACTAAACAGTTTTCGACCAGGACACGTTTGCTAACTTCAGTAGCGCTGACACAATCCGCCATTTTGCTTATTTAATTTGTTTGTTTTGAAGTAGAGTTTATAAGTTGTTTTGTGCAATATTAGTTTTAAGTAATATAATGACATGAATAAACATATACATGTTATTAAAAATTCATGATTGGTAAGTTTTTAATATGAATACTTTACAAACATATATTTAAATTAGGTTAGGTTCCCCGGTTAAAGCTAACTTCGTGTCCTAGAGGAAAATAGCTACTTACGATTTGACAGCGCTTACCGCTTACGATCGCCATTTTGCTTACAAGCGCTTGCTAGCGCTTTTTTCTGCCAAACGCAGCCAATAAAAACTTAATACATGCAGTATTACATAAAGAACTTCCTGAATCATTCTTTCTATTGACGAATACCGCAACAAAATCCGTTGCGTAGTTTAAGAGATCTAAGCGTACAGACGGCAGGAAGAGACTTTGTTTTATACTATGTGGAGAAGGAATATATTTTTTTACTATGAACATTTATGAGCAACCTAACGCTGTAGTTATCCTTCTACTTTATTAAAATAAAGAAGTTTCGTCAACCTTATTTTTTTTTTTTTGGAATTACAGAATTCGGACCGCCAATTTAAGGAGATCCCTTAACAATGTTATGAGCTTGAGGTTCGTGACAATAAAAATTGCCGATAGAATTACCTAAATTAACACTTTAATTCACTTTATCTCGCTCCGAAGCTTCGCTTTTCTCGCCAAATCCAATACTTCCTCGATCGCATCTTGCAGCGCTTATTTATATAAATTAGCAGCGAAATATCCAGAATATTCAAGTAAACACGCGCAAGGTACCGAGAGTTCGTGTTTCAATTTCAAGAAATTTAGTTCTTCGGTTCGAGACTAGATGGCGCTAGTGACGTCGACTTGAGCGCGTAACAATATTAATTTAGTAAGGGTAGGCAACACGCGTTGATATACCGCCGAGTAATTAATAAATAAGCAATTGAAATTCATCATTATCATCATCATTATAGCCCTTTCCATAAGCCCACTGCTGAACATAGGCTTCCCCCAAGCAATGCCACAAAGCACGGTCCTGAGCCACCTGCATCCATCCACTTCCTGTATGTCTTACCAGTTCGTCAATCCATCTAACAGGAGGCCGTACACTTCGCCAGTCAAAATTCAGTTGAAATTGCAAAAAATGATGCCAGCGGGGATCTAACCCAGGTTGGTCAAGAACTGTGAATTTTAAGACAAACTCTTACCCTCAGAGCTACCAAAGATCATTTCTTAAAGTAACAGCCTAAGTACGTCTCACTACTGGTCACATAACTCTCATTTATGAGAGGGTTTTAGGGTAAGGAAGTATCCGCCGCGCTACCATAGTGGTTGTTGGGGAACTTCACATATCTTCGAAATATTTTTATGTCTTATTTCTCTGACATGCAGGTGTCTTCACGATGTTTTCCTTCACCGCCGAGCTAGTGGTAAATCAGCACTTATAATTGCAATTAACAAATTCATTTGTGCGGCGGGGATCGACCGGGTTGCTCGCGTACTGTGAAATTTACAGCGAGCCTGCTAATCATCTGAGCTACCACACTTCTCATCTCTTCATCATCATTACAGCCTTTCTCAAGTCCAATGCTGAACATAGGCCTCCCCCATGGAATGCCACAAAGCACGGTCCTGAGTCATCCGCATCCATTGACTTTTTCCGGGGTGTTCATCCCTTGGGGGTCTTTTGAGGCTGCCACTTGAAAACCTTTTTTCCCCCATCGTTTGTCGGTTCTTCGAGCTTCTCATTTCTTATTGCAACCTATTTAAAAATATTTACCACTTAAGCATTTACGATAATAATCTTGTTATTTCAAAACAATATTTCTATTTCTAACCTCAAAGATGTTTTATAGGTACAGATACCGTGTACGCGCGCCTAAAACGCTTCCATTTAAAAGGCGCCAGCGACGTTCACTGCGAACATACATCACGCACAAGTGTTTTTAATTTCGGAAAATGACTGTTTGTGCTGTGAAATCATGTAAAAATTACTCTTGGAAAAAAAGAAAAAGATAAGAACATCACTTTTCATAAGTAAATATACAATTTTCTGGTGTATTTCTTGATAAAATAATACGAAAGCTAAATGTCAATACAAGTAATAATACTGCGCAATAATATTCGAGTGTTGCCTACTGTGTGAAATGTTTTTCCCTATTTTAAACTGTTGACAACGGATATTTATCCAAAGCAGCCGATACGCAACCGTTGTGAACCGGTTTTTTATCCGACTACAAACGAAAAAGGATGGTTATGATTTTACTGTGTGTGCGGTTGGCTAAGCTCAATCGCTTTTTGGAATGGTGCTCAAAAACTACTTGACCTATTTAAAAAATTATTTCACCATTAGAATGCTATTATGACTTTGAAATGTAGGATGTATTTTAATATAGAGGGCACTACCATCAACGAATATGTTTTTTAGCTAAACTCGTACAGTTCTTGACCGATTTTGAAAATTCTTTTACCGTTACATTACTAATGAGGGCTTTAGTTGTGTGATTAAATTATATTATTATAATAATTATGTTATATTATTATTTGTTATATAATTATGTTATATTATTGTTTATTATATAATTATAATATAATGTTCACTTCACTTTCATGTCAAGGGCACTTATACACAATCAACATTGATTTTATATATTTTTTTATTTATTTACAGGTTTTACAGTACAAAATGTAGCCTTTAAACACACAATCTTTTATCGTCTTCCAGTGGCAGGATTTAATTGATTTTACGCAATGATTTGATCTAGTCATGAAACTGTATCGATATATGAAATTTAAAAAAAAATAAACATTTGCTATCTCTTGGCCGAAGTTTACACTTAACCAAACTTACTTCTGTACTTAAGATTAAAATTTTGTCATTTTACTTAAGATTAAAAATAATTAATGTCTTCGCGTCAATATTTTGGGTTTTAAGGTACGAAAGTGTAGTACTCTATATATATTCAATAATAATAGATTAGTTCAATATATGTTAGATACATAAATATCTAACGTGATTTTTGATTTATTTTTAACTGTTACATTAATTATATCTAGTTTTTATTACTTATTTTCACTATTTTAGTGCGATTTTCGTACAGACCTACATAAAACACACATAACCACCCATATCCCTTGTGTGTGTATATCCCCATTCACATACGTACACAAATGCACACGCCTCGAACACATATTTTACACTCAGGTATGTCAATATGAATGAAATATAAAATCTCCCAAATTTTTGGGCAATCGATTCGCACTATTATTACCGAAGTCACGCACACTAATGCAGGCATGGTACGTCAGATATGCGCGTCACTTTGTGTGGTACTCACGCACACATGAATCAAAGACTGGCGTCACGTATGTGAACGGTGCGATGTGTTAGCAACACGGTATCTGTACCTATAAAACAT